TTTCCAGATCGTCCCAAAATATCTGAATGTTTGTTGAACCAGTACTGCACATTCAACGGTATTTGATTTCAGCAAAGTATCCAGTAAGGGGACATGCCAAGGCAAGAAGCACAGGGCTGCCTTTGCTAGCTCCCCTGAGAAGGTGCACGATATCTTGACAGTTACCGAGATTTTTCACTTAACCGCCAAAATCAAAGGGATAAAACACTCTTAAAGCAAATAAGGCAAAACCGTTGTTTGAAAATTCGCGACGAATTTCAAATTCTCATTCAAAACGCGAAATGTCGGCAGTGTTTTTTAATATCTGGGAATTTTCAGTCTCAATTATAGGAGATTCACCAAAGGATACTCCAGCGGTGGGGACTGGATTTAACACCGCAAGATGGGGTTATGGTCAATGTTCCCTCTAAGCTGAGTTAGTGTGAGCTAGCTCACAGTTTTTTAACCTCCAGCTCACACATTTTTGTCTTCGCTCAGGAAGGATGCCTCCAGAGCAAACTAATTTATGCAGTAGCCAAATCGCTCACTCACGACTGTAATGCCAGTAGCTCACAAAGTAGAATTTTTGCTCACAAGACTCCACAGCTTAGAGGGAGAATTGGTTATGGTACGTACGTTAAGTGCTGTCAAGTCATGTAAAATTTCAACTGACCCTTAACTCCCCATCTGCCAAAAAAGGAAACAATACAGTCTTGCTTCAGAGGGATGTTGAGACGGCAGCTGTCTACAAGGGGCTTTCAAAGCAAGTCAGAAACGGAAGTGGTTTGCCATTGCCGCCTTCTGCAGTCTTCTTTGGTGGTTTCCCATCCAAGTACCAACCCTGCTGAGCTTCTGGGATCTGATGAAATCAGGCTATACCATGTGGCCTTCCCTCCCTTGTGGTTATGAGTGTTCCTGTTTCCAAAACAAGGGAACTGCAGTAACCTTTGAGACAGACGGCCGTCCTTCCATGCTAAGGAACTGTCAGATTCTCAGACTCTAACCACTAACTGATCTTCGGCCCTCTCCCGCCAGAACCCCAATTATTAAAATTCCCCTTGTTGCTTCAATCCACCCTCTTTTCCATGGAGGTGTACCACATCTGGCATTACTTTTTCATACGGGCTTTCTGAAAAACCATGCAGGGAAGCTAGTCAGGGATGCAGACAAGCACTTCTGTGCAATGCGCGAATAACACTACCATCATTATTGTTCCATCTTACCTGGCCCTGGACGAGGGAACACCAGTGTTTCCCGGAAGCAGATGATGCTAAGGAACAGAGTAGTAGCAATAGAGCTGTTACGCCATCTTGTGAAATAACATCCAGAGCACTTATTAATTAATTGTTTATAATGTTATCTGTACTGCCATGATTTTAAATGATTTTACTTATGTTTTATATTGGCGTATGCCCTTGTAAGCCGCCCTGAGCCCGCGTAGCGGGGAGGGCGGGGTATAAATTGAATAAAATAAATAAATAAATAACTTATTCACAGGTCTTTTCCTTTCTAGTTCTCCTACAGGGTCCAAATGTGGAACTCACAAGGCTCTTGTGTGGGGTGAGATCCAGCCAGTCTGCTTTGGATCTCCCAACAGAAGAAAACATCATTCTTGCTCCTTCATAACATTCCAGCTGGTCCTTAACTCCCCATCTGCCACAAAAGGAAACAATACAGTCTTGCTTCAGAGGGACGTTGAGACGGCCGCTGTCTGCACCGTGGATCTGAACCTCTTTCTCTAAAAGCCTCTCCTCAGTCTTCAGAAACCCAAACGGGGGCAGGTTTCAATCGGTTCCTCACCCCAGACATGCATGAAACTGCCTTGTATCAGTCTGATGGTCTATTAGGGTCAATATTGGCTTCTAAGACTGGCAGCAGACTCTTAGGCAGAGGTCCTTCACAGCACCTACCAGGTGATCCTTCTAATAGGAGATGCTGGGGATCGAACCTGGGACATTTTGTACGACAAGCAGATGCTCGGCCACTGAGTCGCAGCCCCTCCCAGACACTGCAAGTCACCATGGCCATAGCGTAGAATGAAATACGTTGTGTGCCCTCCCTCTAACAGGTACTCTGGAACAGCCGGACTGCAGGTAGCCCCATTTGTCCACCATGTTTGCGTGACTCCGTGGATTCTTCCTATTCAAAGCCGTCTCTCGTGCCGGCCCTAATAACGCATTCCACTGGCATAGCTCTTCAAGCTCGTTCTGGTTTCTGTTTAAGAGCTTTTGGTGTGTGTGGGGGGGAATATTCTGAGAGGCTGTTTAAGAGCTTCGGTAGGATTTAAAAACATGTAGCAGCATGCAGGGAAACCTGGAGATGTCTGTGCAAAAGGATAGCAAACCGATTGCAGAGGGATACAACCCAGAGTTGAAGGCGATGCTCCCCTTCATTATGCATCCGAGACGCTCTCTGCTGGGCAAAGGGCTCTTTAACCCTTTCTCCCACGTAACATGAACAGCTTCGACTTAGGTAGAGCCCTTTGCCTGGGAGAAAAGCAGTCAAGAGTACATAACAAAGAGAAGGGGCCTCAGGATGGAAGAGAAGACTGAACTGGGCCACCATCCCTATTCTAAACACTGGAGCTCTTAACAGACACAGCTTTCATGGTTTCAAATCCAGGCCTCAAACCATGAGGACCAGGAACCTGGGTTCTTAAATTAGATTTACACCCACTCTTTTGCTTGAAGGTTCAGGGTTTAACTGAGCACACAGTAGCATGTGAAGCCAGAATGCCTAATCCCCAATTATGACTCCTTTCCCCCCCTCACCGTATAACCATTTTGCGATTAAGTCCCCTAATCAAAGAAGCCGTACTCGTGGTCCAATTGAAGGCACTTCCCTTTCAGCAGATGCACTGGCCATCTGTGAAGACAAACTCTTCCAGACATGGCCGTAGCTATTAACGCTGCAGAGACGATAAAGCACGGCTCTGGCAAGAGAGAATGCAGCAGGCTCCGTAGCAGGAAACACAGGCAAAGACGGAGTCCAAAGCGCTGCACGTAATCCAGCAAATGTCTATTTGCATGAGTGCAGGTTTGCTGTGGCAAAGAGATAGAGCTGCTAAAGAAGCCCTATGGCCCGTGCAGATCCCCCCCCCCAAGATTTCCCTCGAAGGCAACTTGTGTGCACAATGATTTTCATCGAGGCAACTTGTGTGCACAATGATTTTTACGTGAAAAGCCTCCCGTTTTAAAATGACGATCATGAAAGGGAGGAGGTTTCCCAATGGACCTAGCCTCTCAGAATATCCCCCCACACACACACCAAAATCCCTAAGAGCATGACACTATGCTCAAACACATGTGAGCAATGCCCAAAGTCTGTTAGGGCTCAACAGAACTGTTTCGGGCTAACCCACTGGTGAGATCCAGCGAATGTCTATTTGCATGAGTGCAGTTTTGCTGTGGCAAAGAGATAGAGCTGCTAAAGAAGCCCTATGGCCCGTGCAGATCCCCCCCCCCAAGATTTCCCTCGAAGGCAACTTGTGTGCACAATGATTTTCATCGAGGCAACTTGTGTGCACAATGATTTTTACGTGAAAGCCTCCCATTTTAAAATGACGATCATGTAAGGGAGGAGATTTCCCAATGGACCTTGCCTCTCAGAACATCCCCCCCTCCGCACCAAAATCCCTAAGAGCATGACACTATGCTCAAACACATGTGAGCAATGCCCAAAGTCTGTTAGGGCTCAACAGAACTGTTTCGGGCTAACCCACTGGTGAGATCCAGCGAATCTCTATTTGCATGAGTGCAAGGCAATGTATATAGCAAGTGAGGGAGACAACTGCTATTGGGCAGCCCCTGTTTTCCATCTCTGCACCAGACTAAAGAGTGAAAAACAAATGTTTTCATCGAAGCAACCTGTGTGCACAATGATTTTTACGTGAAAGCCTCCCATTTTAAAATGACGATCATGTAAGGGAGGAGGTTTCCCAATGGACCTAGCCTCTCAGAATATCCCCCCCCCCGCACCAAAATCCCTACGAGCATGACACTATGCTCAAACACATGTGAGCAATGCCCAAAGTCTGTTAGGGCTCAACAGAACTGTTTCGGGCTAACCCACTGGTGAGATCCAGCGAATCTCTATTTGCATGAGTGCAAGGCAATGTATATAGCAAGTAAGGGAGACGACTGCTATTGGGCAGCCCCTATTTTCCATCTCTGCACCAGACTAAAGAGTGAAAAACAGTGCAAATGTGTCCAGTTTGAATTAAGGCAGAGCCCAGCATCCGGCTTTCCTGGACACCGAATGTGTTACTTTTGGGGCTCAGTCACCTGGGCCCATTAAAGGTAGCAATCAAATAAATAAATACATAAAGTTAATTGAATTAAAACTCCTTTAGAAATCTAGGCTGAAAATAGAACCTTCCTACGACATAGCTCCAAATGAAGTCTGGTTGTTCTGGTACAAATGGTTACATAAATAATTTCCCACCCTTTATTCTGGTGGAGAGGAGGAGAAAAGCTAAACAAGAACAACTGTTTCCTGCATTTATTTATTTTTTAAAAATATATCCTTGCCATTCAGGATGGCTTACGTCGACATTAAAACCAATCCAGCATAAAACTCAATGCAAAACAGTAAAACCACACACATGTCGCCTTGCACTCATGCAAATAGGGATTTGCCACCTGCAGACCCCAGTGCCAAAGCAGGTCTCCTCAAGTGAGATGCCCAATATGGTGTCGCCCCATCCCACCCTGAAAAGTTCCTGCAAGAACAGCTGCAAATTCAAAGGGCAAATGTTCTTTACATATATACACACACCACAGAGAGAGAGGGAGAACTTCTTTTAAGACACTTTTTTTTGCCCATTTGGAACAAATAAGAAACATCTGTACAATTCAGAGTAACTTTCAGCCCTCTCTGCACAAAGGCAGAGATCAAATCCGTGTGCTCATGTCTCCTCTGTCCCGCTGAGGCTACACTAAAGGCTCAACGCTTCTGAGTATTGTTGTGAGAACCCGTAACCCCAACTCTGCCCGAAGGCTAGCTGATGCTTGGCACCCACTGCTGATCTGACAGTCCCCCGTACATTGGTATGGCTTGGCATTTCGTCTGAGCATCAAGTCTAGAATTCTCGGAGAATAGTCAGGATGACCATTTCATTGTTCGTGGGAGCAAAAAACCCCAAAACAAACAGACTCGTTGTTCTGGACAAAGACGAGAATCAGGTCATAAAAGACTGGCCGGGTAGAACTGGCACACATCGACGACACGCATCCATCAACGAGGCAGTAATGGCAGTTCGTCAACCCGAGACGTACAGACGGCAGCCAAGGGAACACGGAAGGGAAGCAAGCAATCAGAGGGAACAATATGTTCCATACTCCCACTCTTCCAAATCCACTACCAGAAAATCAGGGCGGTGGGGGGTGGGAATAAACCATGATAGCTCCAGGGTCCTACGAAGACAGGCAGGATGGCTCTACAGGGTCTTCCCAGGTGGACATGTCCAGCCGGGACAGGGGGCTTCTCAAAGTGCAGACCCTCAGCTCGTGGGCCAAGGTCAGCACCTCCGACCTCTCTCTGCCTTTGCCCATCTTGGAAACCGAACTGGTGGCAGTCTGGCTGCATGGAGATGTGTCGTTGGGGCCACCACTCGAGACTCTGAGGCCCCCCGTGTTGTGCTCACGGCAGGTGCCGCCGATCAAGTTGGTTGTGATCCGGTCGACACAGCGAGCGGAGCCCCGGGTCCGGCCACAGGGAGCCCCGGATCCCTTGTCCTCCTTCTCCCCGCTCTCATCTTCCTCCTCCTCCTCCTCTTGGATGGCGCTCAGCCTCGGGGCGCTGCGGTTCCTCTCCGGGGGAGGCCGGTAGGGGCACTTGCAGTTCAGGAGCTTGCGGAGGGGGACCCAGGGGACGATGGACTCACCCAGCAGCTGCTGCTGGAGGTGACGGGCGTCGTTCTGCCTCTTGAGACGCTTGAACTCGTTGAAGGCCGAGCGGGAGGTCTGGTAGAGGAGCAGGGCCATGGCGTGGGCCTTCTCGGCCTTGGAGAGCAGGACGGCGTGGCAGCGCAGCACCACCGCCTTGTTCTTGACCTGGTGCCGGTAGACCCAGGCGAAGACCTTGGGGTGGCGGCGGTCGGCCACGCAGTAGGTGATGCGGTGGAGCAGGTAGGCGTGGCCGGGCCGGCGGGGCCCCTTCTCGCAGGGGCTCATGCGGATGCCGTGGGGCCCCAGGGTGAGCTTCATCTTGGTGCTGCTGCCCCCGTAGTCGCTCTTGGCCCAGATCTTCTCCACGGCCTCCTCGGTGCAGCCCTCGCCTTTGGCCTGGAGGGTGACGGCGTTGCCCAGGTACCAGACGGTGTAGGTGGGGTCCTCGCGGTTGAGCTCCACCTTCTGGCGCTTGCTGCGGAAGACGCTGCCCAGGCGGCCCAGCGGGCACTGGGGCAAGAGGTCCGGGCAGGAGCGCACGAAGCCCGACAGCAGGGAGGCGTAGCTCAGGCCGGGCCCCAGGCTCTTGCCGCCCTTGGCTTTGCGCTCCCCTGCCACCAGGACGAACTTGCTCCGGCGCCAGGGCAGCATCGCGGCCATGGGACGGACGGGCGGGCGGGGGGAGGGCCGCGCTCCACCCCGGCCGCGGGGCGCTCCGCTCCTCTCCAGCCGGCCCCCGGTTCCCTGCGCTTCCTTCCTGCTTTCCGCCCAGCTCTGGGTTGCGCCTGCCGACTCCAGCCCGGGGAGGGGAAGCCCAGGCTAGGGAAGCCGCGGTTTCGGCGCCGGGGCTGAGTCCAGCCTGCCCACCTCGCCCGGTCTCGGGGCCAGGGACCCGCCGAGCCCTCCTCGCACCTGCCCCGGACAGCCTCCTTCTCCCCGTCGGCTCAGCCCGGGCTCCGCATGCAGCCGCCGCCGCCGCCACCGAGCTCCAGCGCCCGGCTCCGCCTCCCTCGTCGACCCTCCCCGGACCCGCACGCGTGGAAGGCAGCGCGGCCCCCGCCACGCCCCGGCCGCGCGGACGCCTGTGCCACCAGCTTGCGCGCAAAGAGCGGGCACGCCCTCCTGCCTACACGTGTACGTGCGCACGTGGGGAGGCGCTCTGCGCGGCCCCGCGCGCTCGGGGCCTCCATCCGTAGAGCGCGGCGATGCTTGCAAGAACCCGATGCAGTTCGCCGTCCGGATGCAAGAGCGCGTCGGCCTCGGAGCACCTCCGTGCCCCTATGGCCCCGCCCCCGCCTTTCGTGGCCACGCCCATTCTTCGGACAACCGTCGGGCTGGTGCAACAGGCGGGCGTCGGAGCATGCACGGAATGCCTGTCCCTTCCCCCCCCCCATTTGAGAAGAGCTTTCATCCCTTTAAGTATGGTTGCCAACTTCGAGTTTGGAAATTCCTGGAGGTTTAGGGGGTGGAGCCTTGGGAGGGCGGAGTTTGGGAAGGGGAGGGACCTCAGTGGGGTATAATGCAACAGAGTCCACACAAATTACCCGGCTTCTCCAGGAGAATGATCTGTGTCCTCTGAAGATCTCCAAATCTTGGTGCAAGTTGGCAACCCTTTGTACACGACTGGGCTGCAGCGCAGGACTGAACCCTGGCAGAGCTTTGAAATACGGGTTTGTCGCAAACCTTCAAACACAAGGGGCCAAAACAAATGTGTGTAGTTAACATAAGCAAGAAAGAAGCAAGAGAAGAAAGGGGGAAGAGGAAGAAGAGATTGGATTTATACTCTGCCCTTCACTCGGAGTCTCAGAGCGGCTTACAAACTCCTTTCCCTTCCCCTCCCTGCAACAGACACCCTGTGAGGTAGGTGGGGCTGAAAGAGCTCTCTCGAGAACTGCCCTTGAGAGACCAGCTCTGAGAGAACTATGGCTTGCCCAAGGTCATCCAGCAGCTACAAGTGGAGGAGTGGGGAATCAGACCCGGTTCTCCCAGATTAGAGTCCATGCACTTAACCACCACACCAGACAGTGATGGTCACTAATACATTCAATGCAGAGGAACATAGAGGCCCTCTCAGTAGCCGTGCCCTAACTCTTCCTTGACCAGATTCTGAGAACACACCCTAAGAAATGCCTTGAAAGCTTATGGTGGGCCTTCTGCGCCACAGCTGCCCTGTTCATCTCTATACCACAGGTTTGTGGGAAATACCTGGAGAGGGGGGAGTGGAGCCTGAGGAGGGCGGGATTTGGGGAGGGGAGGGACCTCAGCAGGGTATAATGCAAATAGAGTCCACCTTCCCAAGCAGCCATTTTCTCCAGGTGAATTGATCTCTGTTGCCTGAGAATCAGTTGGAATCTCAGGCGATCGCCAGGCACCAACTTGCGGTTGGCCACTACTAGTACCATACTAGCTTGTCTTCGCCACTGGGCAGCCTAAAAAGAAAAAGAAAGGCCATCTGAGGGTCAGAGCAGCCAAACGCTTCTCTTGTCTTTAAAAACCATTGAATGAACAATCTAAATTCTGCCGATGAAGTCTTCCCCAGCATTGCTTTGGCGTGCCAGGAAATTATTGACAACCTGGATCTCTGCCTGTTGCAGGGCTTTGCCGGTGGGGGTGGAGGGGAGAGGTTGGCCACTTGGTCACAGGGCATCTGAGGATCCTTGAAAATGACCAAAGAGCTCTGCACCAGCCAGATATCACAATGCAGCCCTTGCAAGTGTCTGGATGTTTTTGGGGAATGTATAGTGATTTTAGTGTGATGAACATGGAAGCAGGGGTCAGGATAAGAACATAAGAGATGCCAAATGTTGGATCAGGCCAAAGGCCCATCCAGTCCAACACTCTGTATCACACAGTGGCCAGAAATACCAGTGCCATCAGGAGGTCCACCAGTGGGGCCAGGACATTAGAAGCCCTCCCACTGTTGACCCCCCCAAGCATCAAGATGACAGAGCATCACTTGCCCCAGTGTCCCTATCTATACCTTGTGGCTAATAGCCACTGATGGACCTCTGCTCCATATGCTTATCTAATTCCCTTTTGAAGCTGTCCATGCTTGTAGCAGCCACCACTTCCTGTGGCAGTGAATTCCATGTCTTAATCACTCTTTGTTTACTTGGGATGCAACACACACCTGGAGAGTTTCGCTCCCCAACCTGTTTTCCAGCATTATGGTTAAACATTCTAGAATGGAAATTTCAACTCAAGGAAGGGGGGGGGTTCTTTATTTCATTCTTTGGAACCTCTTCTCATTTGTTTACTTGTTCATGTGTTTTCATTTCAGACCACCTGAAGAAGTCTATCTGAAGACGTGTGCATGCACACAAAACCGTATACCTTGGATACAATTTTGTTGGTCTTAAAGGTACCTCTGGATTCAAACTTTGTTCCGCTGCTCCAGACCAGTATGGCTACCCACCTGAATCTACCTTTCAGACCAGTTATAACTGCATGAATTTTAAAAAGCGGCTGACAAAATGCTCAACAAAACTATGCTAATCAGATGAAATACTTTAAAAGATCGTTGCCATAAAATTATATTCAGTGGTCATCACAGAACCATTAAAACAAGAACACATCACAAAATCCTAGGCTTGCCAACTCCAAGATGGGAGTTGATTGTTCCTTCCTGGGAGGGTGGGGTTTGAGGAGGGGAGAGGTCTCAGCAGGATATAGTGCTACAGAGTCCACTCTCCAAAGTTAGTCCAACACTCTGTCACACTGTGGTTAAAAATACCAGGTGCCATCAGGAGGTCCAGTAGTGGGGCCAGGACACTAGAAGCCCTCCCACTGTTGCCC